TCGCGAGCGCGTGAAGGCCGCGGAGCTCGGCCTGGGTCACCGTTGCCTGTCCGAGCCCGCCATCAAACGAACAGTTAAGCGGAAGCGTACCTTCCCGAATCACATCAGATTGGGCGATGTGGCTTCTGAACAAGGGAGTCTGACTTAGGACCCCCTCCGCCGCACACGCGTCGGCAAGCGACCTCTGGGCCCTCAGAACGTGGTGAAAACGGTCGTCTCCCCTGTTGGTAGTTTCGATTCCCCACTGTCGCATCAGGTCGTCCAGCGCATTCTGGATGGACCGAACTCCTGAACGATAGGTTTGGTCTTGAATTCGAGCGGCGGGACCTCATGTCCAGCGGACGATAATCTGATTAAACCCTTGATATCGATGAGGAAAGCGAGGTTAATGTCCGAATCTGGGCGCCAGGACTTGGTCTCAGCGAAGATCACCCGCCGAGCCTGTTTTTGGCACGACTGTTAGTTAACTTCGTCGAGTTTGCGGCGGGCCCTGCGCCGGCACCGCACAGCTGGCTTCCCTGGACCCCGCTCTCGTGCTCAAGAGCCCAAGCAATAAACTCATGTTTGCACTGACGCCACCCCTCCTCGATTTGTCCCACCCAGCTGACGCCCCACAGATCACAGTAGACATTATCCCACGCCGTCCTCCTCGCCCAACCAACTCGGCGCCCCACCTCTCCCCCCCAGCCCTAACTCGCCAGGGCCCCAGAAGATGCGATTCGAGAGCCTGCACATGCAAAGAGAGTGTCTCCACGAGGCCTCGGCGAATCAGTTCATGGCAAAGCGCACCCATCGCTCGCGCCACGCGTCGATCTCAAAAAACATCGGGACCGACCAGAACAAGCGTTCGAGCAGCATGAGTTCAATGATTTTGTGGCCTGTCCGTCTGCACAGCTTCCTGGCAAGCCGAGTCGCCATCTTGAAATTGTTGAATACCTTCGCGATCGAATGTCCGAGCCCTCGCGTTTCCCGCGAGCAGACTCCCCCCGGTTGACGGGCACTGTCGAAAATGGCCTGATTCCAGGCGAGGCCCTCGGACCCGTAGGACAGGCAGGAATTGACTCGGCGCACCGTTTCATTCTCTCCCTCCTGGAAAGTAGCGGCCGTCGACACTGAGCGCCGCTGTCAAATGGATTCAGAGCTCGACAAACTCGGCAATCGAGAGCCACCGCAGAGCCCCCTTCTCCCCGAGATCTCGGCGCCAAGCAGGAGCACCTCTTTTCGGCAAGGTACTTCAGTCCCTTGCAGGACCCTGGCCAAGATTCCACGGCGCAGCCGCGGTCTCATGCGCGTTCTCTGGCACGGCAGCAAGGAATTCAGACCCTGGCCAGGAGACTCGGATGCAAATGGGCGCCTCTGGGGTCAGACGTGCTGAGAGATACTCCACGCCGTTGGCCTTCCAGAAGAGCCCCGGCTCACTCATCTCGCGCGTGGAATCCTGGACAATCGCCCGCGACATCTCTGCGGAGCTAGCCAGCAAAACCTAACTCTCTGCCCGCTGAAGTCGCAGCACCGGTCGCCTTCTATATGCACCCCCCGCCGACTCCACGTTAGAAAAGATCAACTTCGCGACGAAGGTAAGTCACACGTCCCCGCGGCGCCCGCGGCCCCGGTTTTCTCGCATACGGCGCAGGGCGCGGCCGGGGCCTCGAAGCTCCTCTGAAGACGGGCACCAGCTCTAGACCTACACCCTCCAGAAGCAGCGCACCTGCGAGCAGGCTACGCACTTCACGAGCTGTCGGGGCGCGCGAGCAGGCTTGCGGCCAAAAACAAGCGAACGCTTGTAAAACGTCTCCTGGAAGCACAAAGAGGCGAGCCATTCCCATCCTTTGGACAAGAAGTTCCTGTTTCGAACCGCCTGGATACCGAAGTTCCCCTAGAAACCCCCGGCCCCCCCCCCTCCCTCGTCAGACTCCAAAACCATCAGAACATGGATGTGCCATTTCTGAAATTCTCTCAGCACTGAGTTTCCTCGATGAAACACATGATGTGCTCCTCGCTCCATCACCAGAAACACACACACACTCTCACACACACACAACGATCGTGGCCCAGGAAGAAGCCGACCCCCCCCCTCGTCCACGGCGCAGCGGGCCCTGAACAACTGGAAGCAGCTCTCGACACTGTCTGCCGAGAGTTAGACACCATCTGGGCGCAGATCTGGTCGTGGCCTGCCCCGCTGTCAGGGCCTCATCCCAGCCCCGGCGAGGTGGACGCGGCCCGCGGCCATCTCGGGCGCGCGGCGCCCCGAGAGAACCTCGCGAAGCACGCAACGCCCTTGCAGACAAATTCGGCGCGTGAACTTCCCCTCTCGCAGCGGATGTCGCGAACGACGTGCTTCCAACGCGTCCTGTCCTCGACGGCCGGCAATGCCCAGGCGGTCGCGGAGGATGACTGGCGAGCCCCCCCGGTGCCCACGGCTCGCCGGGTGCGGCCGCGGGCGCGTGGCCGCGAAGCAGGGGCACGGCGGTCTCCCGTGCCACGGCCTCCCGCTGCGGAGGCTGCACCCAGCGAAGGCGAGGGGCAAAGGATCAGGGGGGACTGGCACTGGGGGGGGGGTGCAGCGGCCTGGAATCGGCGAGACATCGCCGACTGATCGGCGCTAGGCCGCCGATGGCGAATCCGCACCTTCCTGGGCAGGATGGGGCCATCGGGCCCCTGTCGGCGATCAATGGGCGATGGGGGGTCGATGCGTCCCCCCTATGACCATCCCCCCCAATCGTTGCCCCCGAGAAGGGTTGAATTCCAGCTCTTTTTCGCGCGGTTGCCGATATCCTTGAAGAACTCTTGGCAGGCGGTTTTGGCCGTCGCGGCAGCCACCTCCTTGACTTAAGTCGGGCCTGTCCCTCTACAGGAGGAATATTCAAAAATAATGAAAGATAATATGGGGACGATGTGTTAGATAAATTGTTTTTTGCTATGCTTGAATGTGCTTGGTTTTTCGCCCAGAATCCCCCCGTAGAAGGACATGCCCGACCCAATCCTGGACCTGCGCCACTACCCGTTGGCCCGTCTTCTCCGCTGCTCGGTTGGCCGACCTCTCCAATGAGGCCTGCGATGGCCTGGGCGTCCGTGCTCTTGCAACCCTCGGCCTTGGCATGCCGCGTCCGGCCACGAGCGGCTCCCGCCGCGTCTTCGCCTCCGTGGAGAAGACTCTCCCTCGTAGTCGATCGCAGGGGTGCATCTGACGTGGCAGGGTGCGTATCGTCGGGCGCCGCCTGCCCGAGCCAAAATGGCTTGAGCCAAAGTGGCCGAGGAGGAGGAGGGGGAGGAGGGCGAGAGAAACCAAGTGACAAGTGGTACAAAGTCGCCCTGGAAACTGATCGCCCCCGTGTGTCATCAGACGGGCTTGAAGACAGGACACCCCAAAACTGCATCCAGGAGGCTTCCGAGAGGCCTCCCAAGAGATCCCAACAGGCGTCCAAGAAGCCTCTGACCTCCAACCCAGGCGCGGTGGCGGGATGAGGCGAAGGCCACGTGAAGCGACTTCATATGCTTTCCAACCGTCCTGTGGTGTTGGGTCATCGTTTTGAAGAGACAGCGCCACGCGTTCCTCCTCACTCCTCCTATTCTCTCCCACCCCTCACACGCTTCGTGGCTCACAGGGAGCTCCACCGAAGGTCCCAATGGTACAGCCCGCATGCGGTCCCGTCACCCATGTCGGCACACCCCGCTCACGTGTTGTGGCCCTCACCGAAGGTCCCAGTGGAGAAACCCACATGCGGTCCCGTCACCCATTTCGGCACACCACTTGCACGCTTCGTAGCCGCACAGGGAACTCCGAAGAAGGTCCCAACGGCACACCACGCATGCGGTCCCACCACTCATTTCGGCACAGCCCTCACACGTCTCATGGCCCCATGGGGAGCTCCACCGAAGGTCCCAGTGGTGCGACACACATGCAGTCCCGCCACCCATTTCGGCACACCCCTCACACGCTTCGTGGCCCCACAAGGAGCTCCACCGAAGGTTCAAGTGGCGCACCCCGCATGCGGTCCCACCACAATTTCGGCCCACCCCCCACCCCCCTCACACGTTTTGTGGCCCCAAAGGGAGCTCTGCCAAAAGTCCCAGTGGCGCTGCCCGCATGCAGTTCCGCCCTATCCATTTCGGCACACCCCTCACACGCTTCGTGGTTCCACAGGGATCTCCTCCGAAGGTCCCAGTGGCGCAGCCCGCATGCAGTTCCGCCCTATCCATTTCGGCACACCCCTCACACGTCTCGTGGTTCCACAAGGAGCTCCACCAAAGGTCCCAATGGCGCAGCCCGCATGCGTCCGCACCACCCATTTCGGCACCCCCCTCACATGTCTCGTGTCCCCTCGGGCAGCTCCACCGAAGGTCCCAGTGGCGCAGCCCGCACGCGTCCGCCCCGCCCATTGTGGCACACCCAGCAAACGTTCCGTGGCACACGGCTCACACGTTTCGTGTCATCCTAGGGAGCTGCACTTCAGGCGATACTCGCAACGGCACATGGTCGAGTCCCTCGCCAGGATGATTTCATGACTTCCTTCGCCAAAATATGTAAGTTCATAACTTCGACTCCCAGAGGTTCGATCGTACTGAAGTTCAGTCGTACCGAGAGGAAAGGAGGAAGCGTAGGAGAAGCAGGAGGAGGAGGCGTAGAAGAGGGAGGAAGCGCAGGAGAGGGAGGGTGTGGAGGAACGGGAAGGGGACCCCTCCTGTCCCGGAGGGCCTCCGCATCTCCGAGAAAACGAGCCCTTCTACCACAGAGGGGCCGTACATGGACATGATATTCGAACCTTGTGGCCCAAGATGCCCCCCAGACCCCCCGAAATTAATATTGATGCCGTGGCGACGGGGGGGCGTGAGTGGACAGAAATATTCGAACCCCAAAGCACCGCCTGTACTGAGATCAACATTGATGTCGGGGGCGCGGGGTGATTCAGAATCTCCCCTCGCATGTGCAAGGGCTCGAATGTGTTGTCCATCCACTGGGCAACACCGTCACCGAATTTCGGCTTTCGGATTGCCGAGTCCTGGATGTGGAGGCCGGGCGGCAGGGGCACGCCGGGGGCGACAAGCCTGGGCTCCTCCTGGCGGGCTCGCGGGGGGGGAAGCTGGGGTCGATCGGCCACGGCCCTGGAGGGATCGCGGCGAGTCTTCTGCGGCAGCTCGCGGGGTCCTTCCACGCCATCTTGTTGGCTCTTGCAGACTGGCGCTGATCGACGCCGATCAGCGCTGAATCGACGCCGATCGACGCCAATCGTCGCCAAATCCGCCGACCCTGTCGGCGTGTGTGAGACGCTGTTCCGTTTGCTCCGTTCTCGTCGTCGTCGTCGTCGCCGTCGCCGTCACCGCTGTCCCTCATCCTCGAGCTCGCTTACCACAACGAAAAGAAGAAATGTTATTGAGTCGAAGAGAAGCCCTTCCCTTCATCCCTTCCCGGCGGGGGGGGAGGGGGAGTCCCAGGCGGGGTCCCGGGGAGGGTGGGGGGAGGGGTCCCGAGGGGGGGGTCCCAGGTCAGAATACCGTCCTCCCCCGGGGGGTCCAGGAGCCCAGAGAAGCCCCAAGACGGCCCAAGACTGTCCCAAGAGGCCCCAAGACGATGCGAGAGGGCGGGCCCCGAATCGCCGAACAATCGGTCCAAGACGCCAAGTCCTCCTGACAGCCCAGGCGGCTACCAAGACGCTCGAAGACGCCTCTAAGAGCACGCCAGGAGGGCTTCAACAGGCAAAAATGAATGAGTCCCTTCGGTTGTCGAAAGATTCTGGCGTTCTCGCCTTTTCGGCTTCCCGACTCCCCAACACAGCCCAAGATGCCAAGATCGGCACAAGAGGCCCTCAGGAGGTTTCCAAGACGGCTCCAGAACGACCCAAGACGGCCCCGGAGGCCTCCCAGACGGCCCAAGAGGCCCCCAAAACGGCTCCAAGAGGGTGCCCGCACGGGAGCCCGAACGGACATTTCGAGCCCTCGCCCCCTGAGAAGCTCCCAGGAGGCCAAAAGAGGCTCTCAAGAGACCACGAGGCCCCCAAGAGGCCACCAAGAAGTCCGAAGAGACCCCCAAGAGGCCCCCAAGAGGCCCCCAAGATGCTCCCAAGAGGCCCAAAACTGACCCCAGAGACCTACGAGCGTGCTCCGAAGAGGACCCACCAAGAATCCCTGAGGACTCCGCCTCACGTCGTCGTCGTCGTCGTCGTCGTCGTCGTCGTCGTCGTCGTCGTCGTCGTCGTCGTCGTCGTCGCCGTCGCCGTCGTCGTCGTCGTCGTCGTCGTCGTCGTCGGTTTCCCTCTTCGGGGTCGGCGGCATCGGCCGTAAGGTCTTCCTAACAGGCGCGACCGCATCGATTACCAGACGCTGGTCGACGGTCGACGCTAACCCACTCTGAAAACGGAATCCTGAGGGTACACGAGGCCCCGACGATTTGCCACCGAGCGAAGTCGACTCGCCGTGGCCGCGGAGAGAAGGGGAAGAAGGCGCCCGCGGGACCCTCGAGCAGCCCCGAAGCCCGAGGGGACTCGAGCGTCCCCGGGGCCCTGGGCCACCGGGGACCCCTCTCCAGGACCGATGGGCATCGAGCCTGGGAATCGAATGGCAGCCGCACCGTCCGCAGACGCTCGTCTCGAGGATGCCGTTCTCCCGTCAGGTGCACGGAGCGAGGGCAAGCGCGCAGCAGGGGACGCTCACCCTGTGATGTCCCGAGGCCCCGCCACGGATGAATGCCGTGGCGGCGCCGTCACGCACAATATGGCTGAAGCACGTTCGCGTTAGTCTTTGTGGCAACATTCAAAGCAATCCATCGCAGCCTGGCGCGCGACCGTCACTCGGCTATTACTGCGATGCCCTCTGAGGCTGCTTTTGCTTTGCTCGTGCTCGTGTGCGCTTCTGCACTCGGCTTCTCTCTCTCTCTCTCTTCGGCTCCCCCTCGCTCAGTACTAGAGGATCGATGGGCCTCGAGCCTGGGAAGCGAACGGCGAGTCGGAGCGGGCGTCGGAGAGGGCCGCATCGGCACAGGGGGTCGACGGGCGGGGCGGGGCGGCCGCCACGCGGCGCCACGCGGGCACCGGGCCGCATCGGAGCCTCGGAGAGATCGGAGCCGAGCCCGAGCGAGCCGGCCGAACTCGATGTCGGATCGCATCGGCGGAACCGAACCGGGACCCTGCCTGGTCGCACACGTCCCTCCCCTGCTCCTCCTCACAGCGACGGCGCCTTGTCCTCCCCCTCGGGAACGAGAAGGGCAAAATATCAGAGCATGGGCTCGAGGATGCGGACGGAAGCGGAGCGTGCGTCGGCGGGCCGCATCGGCGCGGGGTCGGCATCGAGTCGGGCCGGCCGCGCGAGGATAGCCAGCGCCATGCAGGCATCGGGCCGCATCGGATCGTGTCGGGCCGCATCGGAATCGAATAGGATCGGGCCGGCCGGAATCGAAATCGAATCGGATCGATGGAAACGAAACGGACCCTGCAGGGCGGTCGCAATGCCACTGAATCACCACGCGCGGTGGTACACCTTCCTGGTCGCACTGTTCCCATCCCTCCCTTCTACTCTTCCTCCGCTTCCCCCTCCAACAACGACAACGACGACAACGAGGACGAGGACGACTACGATGGTCACTCCTCCTCCCCCTCCTCCTCCTCCCTCTCCTCCTCCTCCTCCTCCTCCTCCTCCTCCTCCTCCTCCTCCTGCTCCTGCTAATGCTCCTCCTGCTCCCGCTCCTGCTGATGCTCCTTCTCCTCCTCCTCCTCCTCCTCCTCCTCCTCCTCCTCCTCTCCTCCTCCTCCTCCTCCTCCTCCTCCTCCTCCTCCGTCTCCGTCTCCGCCTCCGCCTCCTCCTCCTCCTCCTCCTTCCCCTGGCGGCGCGCACAATGAGGTGGAAGGCGGGGAGGCTCTTACGATGCAGGCAGCCTCTTCGAAGCCCCCCAGGCATCCGAGACTCCTTCTTCGAAGCCCAGGGGCCTCTCTAAGCAGACATCTGCCTTCCGAGCCCACTCTGAAGGCCGCCCCCACGCACCGTCCCAATTGTGCACGCCGCCACTCCTCCTCCTTCTCCTCCTCCTCCTCCTGCTCCTCCTCCTTCTCCTTCTCCTCAAATTATTATTGCTATGATTATTACTGTTATTATTATTATTAGTAGTAGTATTATTATTATTAGTAGTCGTAGTATTCGTATTATTAATATTATTATTAGTATTATTATTATTATTAGTAGTAGTATGAGTAGTAGTAGTAGTAGTATTATTAGTAGTAGTAGTAGTAATAATAGTATTATTAATCGTACTATTATTATTGATATTACTATTAGTATTATTAGTAGTAAGACCATTAATCATTAGTATTACTATTATTATCATTATCATTATTAATATTAGTATTATTAGTAATCGTATTATAAGTATTATTATTAGTATTATAATTATTATCCTCATTAGCATTATCATTATTATTATTACTACTAGTATGATTCTTCTGAGTAGTATTACTACGATGTGTATAAGTATCCTTCTTATTATGTGTATTATCAGTATTGCTTTAATTCATTAGTATTATTAGTATTAGTATTGTTATTATTCGTATCATTGTTCGTCTTTTTATGCTTTCTTACTGTTAGTATTAGTATTCCTCTTATTCGTGCTATTAATATCAATAGTCTTATTAGTAGTCTTCCTATTAGTATTACTAGTATTATTAGTTTCGTTCTTCTGCTCATTCTTATTCCTCCTCCTCCTCCTCCTCCTCCTCCTCCTCCTTCTACTCCTCTTGAGTTTACACTGGTCCTCCTCCACCTCCTCCTCTTCCTCGTCCTCATAGTCCTCCCGTCCTATTCCTCCTCATCTTGCGACGAAGACGACGACGAAGACGACGACGACGACGACGACGACGCCTCCCCCTCGGAACGAGAAGGGCGGCCTGGGGCGCCACAGGGCCCGCGTTGGCCCCCTGGCCAGGGCGCCGCCCGAGGGCTGCAAACGCGCGGGCGGCGGCTGTCGGAGGCTCCACCTGGTCGGGCCAATTTTGCACGGCCGGGGGCTCCCCGGGCGTCGTGGGGGGAGTTGGGGAAGACAATTGCATGACCTGGACGGCGCTGCCCACTTGCACTCTGGCAGCTTGGGACCAAGCCTAGACGCCGAGTTAACTAGGACGTGGAGGCTGGAGCTGGAGGCAAAGATGAAGGATGATTCGGGTCGGGCGAAACGGGCGGGTAATCAAGGGGGGGATCAGCGAATCAGCTCACGCAGCTAAGAGGAGGAGGCGGAGGTGGAGGCGAAGCTGGAGGCAGAACCGGTGGAGGTGGAGGCGGTGGAGGCAAACGAATCTAAAGTTGACACCCTCCCTGGCGTCGTTACTTGTCTCACGATGAGGGTCCCAGGCTGGTCTCGACCGCCTCCTCGAGACCAAGTTCTCGTTTTGGGCCGTCTTTTGGCAACACCTGGGGCCTGGTGAGGGCCACCAGATGCCAGAGAAACCTAAATTAACCTGGCAAAGGACCCAACCATATGCAGTTGTGAATACCGTCGTTGTCAGTATCACCTTCGGTGGATCTCCTTATGGGGCCACGAAGCGCGTGAAGAGTGTGCCGAAATGAGGCGGGGGCGCCATGCGGGCGCTGCTACTGGGGCCTGATGTAGAGCCCCCTTTATGGGACCACGAAACGTGTGAGGGCTGTGCCAAAGTGGAGCGGCGCCGCCATGCGAATTGCGCCACTGGGACCCTAGGTGGAGCTCCCTATGGGGCCACGAAACGTGTGAGGGGTGTGCCAAAATGGGGCGGCGCCGCCATGCAAACTGCGCCAATGGGACCTTAGATGGAGCTCCCTATGGGGCCACGAAACGTATGAGGGGTATACCCAAATGGGGCGGCGCCGCCATGCGAACTGCGCCACTGGGACCTTAGGTGAAGCTCCCCATGGGGCCACGAAACGTGGGAGGGCTTTGCCAAAAGTGCGGCGGCGCCGCCATGCGGACTGCGCCACTGGGACCCCAGGTGGAGCTCCCCATGGGGCCACGAAACGTGTGAGGTGTGTGCCAAGAGGGAGTGGGAGG